CAACAATCATCGAAAAAAAATACAAGTGGCTAAATTTCCTTCTACTGGCAGCATATATTCTTCCTAATAGCACGACTTTGAAAACTAGTGTTTACGTTTACCCACCATCATGTGAGAATAAAGAGATGTACCAGCAGATACTGATAAACAGCAAAGGAAAGAGACAGAGGAAGGCTGCATAAACAATCGGATATTTGACCTGATTTTTGCAGAAAGTTCACCAGGCACAGAGGTGACATAAGGGTGAAGAAGCTCGAGGTCACATTCTAGGCAAGGGGAAAACATGAAGGAGGCACAGAGGTATGGCTCTATCTGGTATTGGGAGATATTTTTAAAAGCTATCCACTTCCAAAGTATCTTGAGAATCCTAGACCTGTAGCCTCCTTCCCAGAGGTCACCCTATGGAAAGGCTTCAAGGGCATACTTGGCTTTTAAGAAACAGCAAAGGAAAGTCTGAACTATGCCCCAACTTACGTTATAAACATCCTCCTAGTGGCTAGAAGATAACAGACACAGAAACAGGCAGAAAAGAATAAAGCCATGCGCAATGCTATTTGTACTTTCTACGTCCCAAATAAAAAACATAAGACGCAATTCCAGGGACTCTGTGGTTTGGATCTCCTTCCACAAACACTCCCTTCGTGGAAGCCATCTTTCTCTCTCCTGGCTGTTTGTTTCTCTCTCCTTCTCCTTTTTCTCTCTAAATAAATCATTTTCTACAAACAAACAAACAAAAAATGATGCAGTTCCATCTGTCATTCCATGACTATTTAAAGTAAGTCAATATGACCCTTATTTTCCCGCAAATCACATATAAGTTTTTTTAAAAAGCTATTAAGGGCCTGCTGTGTCCTAAGCACAGGATTCTGTGGGGTGAAATGTAACTAAGTCCTGTTGCTGAGGCAGGAGTCTACAATAAAGCAGGATGGAAGAGATCATGGAACTAGATGGAAAGTATAACATAAGTAATGAGACATGGTGTGTAAACAGAGGAGTCACTGAAGCTTCTTGAAGGACATGTTAATCTAGTCCGTGAGGGATGAGTAGGAATTTGGCAGGTGAAAATGTGAGAGGAAGACAATTTAAGCAGGAGGAGTAACACACAGTGGGGAAACCCTAGACATGTGTGGGGTTGCCCAGTGAAATGTTCCGAGATGACAGGAATGTTCCACTTTTATGCTGTCTGATATGGTAGCCACTAGCTATATAAGGCTCTTGGGTTCTTCAAATTTGGCTAGTGTAACTAAAGACCTTAACTTTCAGTTCTATGTAATTTTAACAAAATATGGAAATAGATGAAGACCAGCTGAATGAAAACAGGCTAACGCTATTTACTTAGAGATTGCTGCAGCAGGGTATCAGGCAGCATCATCTGTGTTCTGGCAAAGACTTAAATGCAGGCAGAGGAGTGGGAGAGCTTTAGAGTAGCTAAAAAGGGAAGGCTTCAGGTGAGCCTCATGCAGAGGCTGTTGGCATGGGGAAGCTGTAGGCAGTCTAACTAGAACAAAGCATCCTATGTTATTGGTTAGGGATACATTTTTGGCTTTTTCTGGTTGGTCTTAAGTTGGAACTGGGAACAAAAAGTACAGAACTTATCAGTTATGAATCAAGTCCTGGCTGTTTGGGGCTGATGATTACAGGGGCTATCATTTGGCTTCCTAGATTGTTGCTGGAGATATCAGTCTGACTTTCCAGAAATCTGACTTAAAGCTGCCTTCTTGGGTTAGTTACTATAGATGATTAGTTGGTTTCCTGGGCTAATTGATGCATATTGTGGGTCAAAACTCTCTCTTTTTTTTTTTTTAAGACAGAGTCTCCCACTATTGCCCAGGCTGGTATGCAGTGGCATGATCTTGGCTCACTGCAACCTCCACCTCCCAGGTCCCAGCAATTCTCCTGCCTCAACCTCCCAAGTAGCAGGGACTACAGGTGTGCACCACCACACCCGGCTAATTTTTGTATTCTTTAGTAGACATGGGGTTTCACCATATTGGCCAGGCTGGTCTCAAACTCCTGACCTCGTGATCTGCCTGCCTCAGCCTCCCAAAGTGTTGGGATTACAGGTATGAGCCACTGCACCCGACCCAAAACTCTATTTTTATTTGTAGTCTATCCATTGTCCATTTATATATTCCTTCTTACATCACTGCACGCTAGTGGCCACAGCAATGGACTGTGCAGTTTTATAGTAACACGGAACCCAGTTCGGTGAAGCATAGGGTATATTTCAGAAAACCAGAAAAGAAAAAAAAAAAAAAAGAAGCTGAGAATAGAGATAAGACCAGAATGTGGAAATCTGGGTGCCAATCTGTGGAATTTGTATTCGTTTTGATATGAATTAAATATCATGGAAAATTTAAGGACAGGAAGCTACATGATTACATATTTGTTTTATAATGATTAATTTGGTTTTAATCTGCAAAATGGAACTAAGAAAGAAGCTACTGGTTAGCATATTGTAATAGATCAAGTTAGAATGGTGTAACAGATCAGGTTAGCACAGTGTAATACCACAGGCAAGAGGAAATGAAGGCTGTAGGATAATGGGAATGTACATGGAAAGAACTGAGCAGGAGCAAAAATAATTTGGATATACAATATGGAGCTCTTTAAATCTGATTAGATATAAGGGATTTACCCTAAGAAAAAAAACAAAGGCCACCAAATGATTTTTAAGCCTAGACAAGATGGAAGGTCACAGATCTTTTAAGAACTAGAGAAATAAGAAAATAGCATGATTGGAGGATGGGGAGAAGGAGTTGGAGAATGGGGCGATGATCAGTTTGAGACTCAAACTAGTAAACCTCAATAGATTGAAGGCAGATCAAAAATGAGAAAAACAAATCAGAAAAAAAAAAAAACAAAAGAAAATATAATTTCAATGAGAGACCTCAAAAAGATTAATAAAAGGATATGCCAATAATAATTACATAATTTTATTTAATAAACAGTTTTGTTTTCTGCTTTAAATCAACAGGTTATGCTTGATAGACAGTCTTCAGAGGGTCACAGTTAAATTGGAACCGGTCTGTTCAACATTAGCAGTAATACCACTAATGTTTGATTGTTTCTGTTGTTTAAGACCTGATTTTGCTCTCTCTTCTGCTTGGGCTTTATTAGTTTACTAAAATAAACAAATCTAAACAAGGGTTCTTAGTAACATGCCTCATGATTAATTAGAAAAATCTCTGTAAGGAGAGGTTGCCTTTCTTTTCAAGAGACTGTAGCCTGCTCTGGCTTCACAGGCATATATATACTGAGTGCACATCAAGGATTTAGGATCAACCAGCATCTCATCTTTCTGGTTAGTCTAATTTGATTCACTGCAACTTTCTTGCTTCTTTTCTCAATTCATTGTATTCCTTTTACCTTGGTACCTTTGTTTCAAAAAGTATTCAAATTCAAAGGCCTCAACTCCCTGATTAGCTGATATATCCATGCAACCAGGCCCAATCCCCCAAAGTTAATATCATCCTTCCAACATCTCAGATGGAAACCGATCAGTGGGGCACCAAACTGCTAGAAAACAGAAAAGTTCTCAGCCTCCCCTGTCTTGTGAGGCCCTAGATGACAGGGACTCCTGTTTGAGTCAATGCGACCTGTGAGGTCCCTGAAACAAAGTAGTTCCTCAAATAACTTTTGGTGAATTAGTCACTTCATTTAAAAAAAAAAAAAAAAAAGCTATAAAACCATGTGAAGAGCTGACCTGTGTCACAAATCATCCAAGATCATTCTATCATTTATTTATTCATTAAAATATTTGCTAAGTGCAAACTACAAGTCAGATAATATGCTAGTGGAATGTCTGAAATACGGAGGTAAATACTATTTAGTCCCAGTCCTCCAAATTACTTTAAGATCTTTGCTATTTATGGTTTCATGTGGCATCTACAACAAATTATGCTTAATTCCCCATGTTGTTGAATCATAGTGTCGCACTTATAAAGCAACTAAAAAATCTTTATGGGAACAAACCAGTGATGAAGAATACCACTATCTTAGCCAGGCTTGGTGGCAGGCTCCTGTAATCCCAGCTACTTGGGAGCCTGAAGCTGCAGAATCACTTGAACCCGGGAGGCAGGGGCTGCAGTGAACCAAGATCACGCCACTGCACTCCAGCCTGGGCAACAGAGTGAGACTCCATCTCGAAACAAAAGAAAAGTACCACTATCATTTCCCAAGAATGCCTGGCTCTGCTTGTTTTCCAGCTCTCTCACTTCAGTGTTTTTAACCTTTGGTTTGCTTGAAAAAGTAACAACACAATTCAGTTATTTTAATGTAGGCAGAAAAAAAAAAATATATATATATATATATATATATGTGTGTGTGTGTGTGTGTGTGTGTGTGTATGTGTGTATATATTTGAGACAACATAATTTCAGTAACATTAAATTTTCTAGAATGATTTCCTTCATCTTACCTAAAATCAAGATCCTCTCTAAAAACAAGTCCCAAAAAAGTATATTTCACAGATTAGTATCAAAAGCACATACTTGAAGAAAAGTAATTAAGTTATGTAACAAATGCAGAATAATAAAATAGGGTCACTTATTTTTGGTTGCCTTTTCCTTCCACATTCCAAATGTATTTCACAGATAACAAAGCAGTCATAAAGTGGATTGGGTTTGAAATTGTCACTGCACATCTTTAGAGCATTTTCAGTGATCACAGGTGTATTATATGCTAATCTGAAGTTGAATGCAGTCTCAGGTGTTGTAACATTCTTGCTCTCAGCCTGAAGGAGAGGCATGAATTAAACCGCAGTTCTGATTCCCAAAGCCAAAGTAGAATATCTCACTGGTGTGGTGATCCAGAAACCACTTACTCTATCTAAGCATTTTTGAAACTCCAGAGGAGCCTCTAAAAATGGATATCATTATGAAGGCATTGACCCAGAGCCATCCTCAGTGGTAAATCCTCTCCCTGGGATTTTTGCCAGCCTGGCAAGGAGATCAATACAGCATTCAGATAGATTTATTTCCAATAGACAAATAACTCACGTATGGGAAAGTTGCTTAATGAAATCATGAGCTTCCAGACTCCTCTGTGTCATTCTGCTCCCCCTGATTGCATTTCTTGTAAGCAGGACAGGCCTTAAGGGAAGTCTTCGAAGCCTTTGGACACCCCTTTCGCACCCTGCAATCACCTTCGAGTGCTCTGCTTTCATCCTCTTGAAATCCCATCATATGAATAAACACTTATCTATCCCTTTAAGAAATGAGGTCAGCACTTTCAGGAAGCAGCTTGCCGGGTGAGGCCAAGTGAAATGGACATTGAGCTCCTTTTCCTTTCGAAGAGAATGTCTCTATCAGGAGATTTCTGCCAAGTGAAACAACCCCACTCAAACTAATGTAGGCAGAAAAGATTTAATCAAAGCCCACCACGTAACTGGCAGAATCAGGAAGATCAGAAAACCAGAAAATTTTCTTCCAGAAAATCAGGCCTGGAGGATATACAGATGGAAATGATGCCCCTTTCTCGAATAGGACAGAACAGCCATGAAAACAGCAACAGAGGAGCCGGTGAAACTGACCGTCGCACCATCCCCCTTAGACTGAGCCTGGCCCTGACTCATGGTGGCTGCATTCACTGTTGTGTCACAAGCCTGATATCCAAAAACCAGTCCTAAAAGAGAGTACGGCAATAGCATGTGTGCCCAGGGTCAGGCACATGAGGGCCATTCCATAGGGGAATCTGCAGACAAAGCTAAAATGAAAACAGACATTAATGACAGGAGCAGCATCAAAGTTGTAAAAGGCAAACGAGTCCAAGCCAACATGAACAAAGACTGCTTATTTACAGACTTGCAGCAAGGAAACCCATCTGCTTTGCCATCATTTCAGTAGGGGTTCAACAGTGTTAGAAAGGAGAGGAAGCTTTATCAAGTAAAAGAGAGCTTCCTGTGAGGCCATGTCTGATTGACAAGCATGCTATTAAGGTGAAACTTTTGGAAGTGGGCACACTTTTTAATTGGTTTTCAGATATATTCGATAGCCCTTGGTTGGCTGTAAGCAGGCAGTTTGGAGACATTTCCAAAGACAATGGATTTGTTCATTTCTATGCAGACCATTTTGTGGAGCAAGAGGAGGTCAAGCAGGTATATTACAGCAATGCAGTGATTCTCATGACAAGTCAACTGCCAGGGCTTTAGACTGTCCTTGAGAACAAAGTCCAAGGGAGAAACTGGGTCAGGACCCAAGGGAGTCCTCCTGTGGCACAGATACACACTACAGAAAGCAGGCACAGGGTGGCACTGACTGCCATCTCTGCTGGATCTTCCTACTCCAGCCACAGATCCTCAGGGAAGTATGTGAATCCTTCATGTCCTGCCTGGCTTTTTGGTATGGAGATGCAATCATCTGGCAGGATGCGTTGTCAGAACAGCCGACTGCCTTTTCATTTGGTTTTTCTCTATGCAATCAAATGACAGAACTTTTGGATGTAAAAGTAAGGATGCTGTACAAAATATGTTTGGACGAATCCATCAGTGAGGCTGCCCTTATAAGGGTTAAAATGTTGGCTGCACCTGACACTCACCCAATAATACAAAATTATATGATTGTTTTCCAAACTGGCCCAGGGGCACTGAAAGACTTTCAAGTTAATAATAGCTTAGCGTCTATCACCTCCTCCTATATTACTGTCTGTGTGTGTGTGTGTGTGTGTGTGTGCGTGTGTGTGTGTGTGTGTGTGTGCTGGAGCTGAGTATCAAGGTTGGGATAGATAGAAAGAAAAGAATAACAAAATCTAAGAACTTTAAAAAATAGCTTGAAAAAAGGCATGTGTTTCTACAGAGCCTGATGTAAACTTTACATAAGCATACATAGTTCCTATTTAGCTTTGAGTAAAAATCAGGTGATGACCATTACTTCTTAATATCCAGGCAGCTGTTTATCATATTCTTTCTGAAATTAACCCATGCAATATTTCTCTTGAATGCTTAGTACCTTTTCCTTTGATAAAGTGCCTCTTACAAATGATAAAAAAGAAGAGTTGTTCAATCTATCCACTCGTTTTAATTAAAACTAAAATTTCTGGAGGAAAGAAGTGTCTTAATAAAATACTCATCACACAGACGTTTAAATAAATATTAGGCTGGGCATGGTGGCTCATGCCTGTAATCCCAACACTTTGGGAGGCCGAGGTGGGTGGATCAGGAGGTGAAGAGATCAAGACCATCCTGGCCAACATAGTGAAACCCCGTCTCTACTAAAAATACAAAAAATTAGCCGGACGTGGTGGCACATGCCTGTAATCCCAGCTACTTGGGAGGCTGAGACAAGAGAATTGCTTGAACCCAGGAGGCGGAGGTTGCGGTGAGCTGAGAATGCGCCATAGCATTCCAGCCTGGGCAACAAGAGCGAAACTCCGTCTCAAAAACAAATAAATAAATAAATAAATATTAAATGTAACTGTGTATGAAACACACTCTTTGAGAGAATTGACCAGAAAAATTCTATATGAATTCAGCAGGATCTAATACATAGTTTGAATGGCATGTTATATTTTCTCTGATATTTTTCCAAAAATGTAAAAGAGAATTTTAATTTTTTCCAATAACATTTTCCTTTGTTTGCCAGTAAAAGTTGGTTTGAACAAAGCAGCTTTTCATATTCTTGTTTATTAAATTCCCATCTCTACACAAATTGTCCTCTAGAGTTTTGTTGTCCCAATTATTTTTGCTTTTTCTTTGTTGTTTTGCAATTTCATAATGTGATGGTTGCCTTGGCAATAGAAACGTGGGTTCAAACCTTTTAAAACGATAACCATCTCTATTCCACATTATTTACTGGATTTCATTCAGGCATATTCTCCTCTCTGTTTTTTTTTTTAATCTTTATGAATGTAAAGTTATTCCTTCCTTTGTCATCCTGTTTTTCATTTTCTAAATACTTTTTTCAAACGAAGTATTTTTCACCTATTCTATTGAAATGGAAAATCAAGTCCATGATTTTATATGCAACTGAAAAACAGATATTTGCATTCGAAATTCCCAGTGCTGTGACTGAGCACCATATTCCCCTGCACAGGAAACTGTTCACAGTTACTGTGTCTGTGAGCACCTCTGGTCCAGGGATGCCAGGAGAAGGGAAATTAGGGCCAGCAGAGTTGAAGAGCACATGATGAGGGATCTCCGTGCAGCCCCAGCCAGCTCTATTCCTTAGGTAAGCAGAGAGTTCTTGGGAGTAGCTTACCTTGGCATTGAGCTGCTGTGAGAGTGAAGTAAGGTTACTATGATGGTTGGTCTAGTTTCTTCCTTTTTCATGTGTGTCCATGGAGAGAGGCTACACCTTAAGACCTTAAGGGTAAAGTATAAAACCCATGAAGTGTAAGGCATGCCCGCTGCTGATCTGCAGCCCAGGGTTGAGCAGTTAGAGTGATAATTTGCCAGAATTAGCTGTGCCAATAACTCATGGAATCTCCCGATCACCATACTAAACTGATGGAATTACAGAACTTCTATAATGATGGAAGCTGGGGTTATTTGGCTCATGAATTCTTAGTCTTGGAAAATAGATTTCTTCAAATCCCATAGATACACTGACATGGGTCATGAACTCTTCAAATCGTATGTGAAATTTAGAACACATGCATGGGTGCATTTCTAAGCTTAGGACTTTATTCATGTTCTCAAAGAGACCTACGACAAGCAGAGCTCATGTCACAGTTTGCCTAGGACAGTCATCTTTATGCCCTTGTCCTGACCTGATTATTATTATTATTTGAGATGGAGTTTCGCTCTTGTTACCCAGGCTGGAGTGCAATGGCGCAATCTTGGCTCACCACAACCTCCACCTCCTGGGTTCAGGCAATTATCCTGCCTCAGCCTCCTGAGTACAGGCACATACCACCATGCCCAGCTGATTTTTTGTATTTTGAGGAGAGACGGGGTTTCACCATGTTGACCAGGATGGTCTCGATCTCTTGACCTCGTGATCCACCCTCCTCGGCCTCCCAAAGTGCTAGGATTACAGGCATGAGCCACCGCGCCCAGCCATGACCTGATTATTAATACTGCCCCATTTAATTCTCAAAAGTATCCCAGTTCAGTTGACAAGTTATATGGTCTTCCTGCCTTTGACCTACAAAAGAATAAGAACCACTGATGTAGTCCAACCGTCCACTTTCACACAAGAACTGTTGTAGTAGAAGAGGCTGTCAAGGCATAGAAATTCATAGGAGATATTTCTTTGGATAAGTAAGGGGTAGTTATATTACACAGAGATTTGAAAACTAAGCAAAATCCTTCAGACTAAGATAAATCTTTTAATTACCAACATATCAGCATTGCTATCGTGGCAGTATTATGGGTTCAATTCAAGATGAAGGAAGTCCCCTTATCTGTTGCCGTTTAGGAATTATACTATTACACATTGCTTTTTTTCCCCCTGTTCATATGGTTTGAAGAGGTAGCAAATCCCATGATCAGCAATAAACAGGTTTAATTCAAGTTAACAAATACTGATTGAGCTTTGACCAGGTTCTATATACTGTGCTAGGTACTTGTGGTATTTAGATGATAGATAAAGACAAAAGAAGATAAATATGAATAAGACCAAAGGTAAGCCTTCAAAAACTTTACAGAAAAAAATATGAAACAACTATCAAAATCTCTAAGCTATGATCATTTATAAAAGATTAGGTTCAACTGCAACAGGGAAAACTCTAAAATAATAGTGGCTTAAACAAGATGAAAGCTTAATTTTTATCTGTGTAAAAATAAAGAGCCCTGTGTGGTGGTGTATGCCTATAGTCCCAGCTACTTGAGAGGCTGAGGCAGAAGGACTGCAGATCAAAGTTGCAGTGAGCTACGATCGCACCTGTGAATAGCCACTGCACTCCAACCTAGACAACGTAGCGAGATCCCATCTCTAAAAAAATAAAAAATAAAAACTGCAAGAAAAATGGGAACTTATAAGTCCTGTGTTATAATAGATAAAAGTTTATTTTTAAAAATATGGAATTAGGCAGTCCAGAGCTGAAATGGTATCCCAGAGAGCCAAGGATCTGGGCTTTTTTTTTCCCCCCTTGTTCCCTATCATATATCCCCTATCATATATCAAAAATTATTTATGATAAT